TGCGCCTCCACCACTCTGCGCCTCCACCACTCTGCGCCTCCACCACTCTGCGCCTCCACCACTCTGCGCCTCCACCACTCTGCGCCTCCACCACTCTGCGCCTCCACCACTCTGCGCCTCCACCACTCTGCGCCTCCACCACTCTGCGCCTCCACCACTCTGCGCCTCCACCACTCTGCGCCTCCACCACTCTGCGCCTCCACCACCTGCGCCTCCACCACTCTGCGCCTCCACCACTCTGCGCCTCCACCACTCTGCGCCTCCACCACTCTGCGCCTCCACCACTCTGCGCCTCCACCACTCTGCGGCCTCCACCACTCTGCGCCTCCACCACTCTGCGCCTCCACCACTCTGCGCCTCCACCACTCTTGCGCCTCCACCACTCTGCGCCTCCACCACTCTGCGCCTCCACCACTCTGCGCCTCCACCACTCTGCGCCTCCACCACTCTGCGCCTCCACCACTCTGCGCCTCCACCACTCTGCGCCTCCACCACTCTGCGCCTCCACCACTCTGCGCCTCCACCACTCTGCGCCTCCACCACTCTGCGCCTCCACCACTCTGCGCCTCCACCACTCTGCGCCTCCACCACTCTGCGCCTCCACCACTCTGCGCCTCCACCACTCTGCGCCTCCACCACTCTGCGCCTCCACCACTCTGCGCCCTCCACCACTCTGCGCCTCCACCACTCTGCGCCTCCACCACTCTGCGCCTCCACCACTCTGCGCCTCCACCACTCTGCGCCTCCACCACTCTGCGCCTCCACCACTCTGCGCCTCCACCACTCTGCGCCTCCACCACTCTGCGCCTCCACCACTCTGCGCCTCCACCACTCTGCGCCTCCACCACTCTGCGCCTCCACCACTCTGCGCCTCCACCACTCTGCGCCTCCACCACTCTGCGCTCCATCACTCTGCGCCTCCACCACTCTGCGCCTCCACCACTCTGCGCCTCCACCACTCTGCGCCTCCACCACTCTGCGCCTCCACCACTCTGCGCCTCCACCACTCTGCGCCTCCACCACTCTGCGCCTCCACCACTCTGCGCCTCCACCACTCTGCGCCTCCACCACTCTGCGCCTCCACCACTCTGCGCCTCCACCACTCTGCGCCTCCACCACTCTGCGCCTCCACACTCTGCGCCTCCACCACTCTGCGCCTCCACCACTCTGCGCCTCCACCACTCTGCGCCTCCACCACTCTGCGCCTCCACCACTCTGCGCCTCCACCACTCTGCGCCTCCACCACTCTGCGCCTCCACCACTCTGCGCCTCCACCACTCTGCGCCTCCACCACTCTGCGCCTCCACCACTCTGCGCCTCCACCACTCTGCGCCTCCACCACTCTGCGCCTCCACCACTCTGCGCCTCCACCACTCTGCGCCTCCACCACTCTGCGCCTCCACCACTCTGCGCCTCACCACTCTGCGCCTCCACCACTCTGCGCCTCCACCACTCTGCGCCTCCACCACTCTGCGCCTCCACCACTCTGCGCCTCCACCACTCTGCGCTCCACCACTCTGCGCCTCCACCCTCTGCGCCTCCACCACTCTGCGCCTCCACCACTCTGCGCCTCCACCACTCTGCGCCTCCACCACTCTGCGCCTCCACCACTCTGCGCCTCCACCACTCTGCGCCTCCACCACTCTGCGCCTCCACCACTCTGCGCCTCCACCACTCTGCGCCTCCACCACTCTGCGCCTCCACCACTCTGCGCCTCCACCACTCTGCGCCTCCACCACTCTGCGCCTCCACCACTCTGCGCCTCCACCACTCTGCGCCTCCACCACTCTGCGCCTCACCACTCTGCGCCTCCACCACTCTGCGCCTCCACCACTCTGCGCCTCCACCACTCTGCGCCTCCACCACTCTGCGCCTCCACCACTCTGCGCCTCCACCACTCTGCGCCTCCACCACTCTGCGCCTCCACCACTCTGCGCCTCCACCACTCTGCGCCTCCACCACTCTGCGCCTCCACACTCTGCGCCTCCACCACTCTGCGCCTCCACCACTCTGCGCCTCCACCACTCTGCGCCTCCACCACTCTGCGCTCCACCACTCTGCGCCTCCACCACTCTGCGCCTCCACCACTCTGGCGCCTCCACCACTCTGCGCCTCCACCACTCTGCGCCTCCACCACTCTGCGCCTCCACCACTCTGCGCCTCCCACCCACTCTGCGCCTCCACCACTCTGCGCCTCCACCACTCTGCGCCTCCACCACTCTGCGCCTCACCACTCTGCGCCTCCACCACTCTGCGCCTCCACCACTCTGCGCCTCCACCACTCTGCGCCTCCACCACTCTGCGCCTCCACCACTCTGCGCCTCCACCACTCTGCGCCTCCACCACTCTGCGCCTCCACCACTCTGCGCCTCCACCACTCTGCGCCTCCACCACTCTGCGCCTCCACCACTCTGCGCCTCCACCACTCTGCGCCTCCACCACTCTGCGCCTCCACCACTCTGCGCCTCCACCACTCTGCGCCTCCACCACTCTGCGCCTCCACCACTCTGCGCCTCCACCACTCTGCGCCTCCACCACTCTGCGCCTCCACCACTCTGCGCCTCCACCACTCTGCGCCTCCACCACTCTGCGCCTCCACCACTCTGCGCCTCCACCACTCTGCGCCTCCACCACTCTGCGCCTCCACCACTCTGCGCCTCCACCACTCTGCGCCTCCACCACTCTGCGCCTCCACCACTCTGCGCCTCCACCACTCTGCGCCTCCACCCAACTCTGCGCCTCCACCACTCTGCGCCTCCACCACTCTGCGCCTCCACCACTCTGCGCCTCCACCACTCTGCGCCTCCACCACTCTGCGCCTCCACCACTCTGCGCCTCCACCACTCTGCGCCTCCACCACTCTGCGCCTCCACCACTCTGCGCCTCCACCACTCTGCGCCTCCACCACTCTGCGCCTCCACCACTCTGCGCCTCCACCACTCTGCGCCTCCACCACTCTGCGCCTCCACCACTCTGCGCCTCCACCACTCTGCGCCTCCACCACTCTGCGCCTCCACCACTCTGCGCCTCCACCACTCTGCGCCTCCACCACTCTGCGCCTCCACCACTCTGCGCTCCACCACTCTGCGCCTCCACCACTCTGCGCCTCCACCACTCTGCGCCTCCACCACTCTGCGCCTCCACCACTCTGCGCCTCCACCACTCTGCGCCTCCACCACTCTGCGCCTCCACCACTTGCGCCCTCACCACTTGCGCCTCCACCACTCTGCGCCTCCACCACTCTGCGCCTCCACCACTCTGCGCCTCCACCACTCTGCGCCTCCACCACTCTGCGCCTCCACCACTCTGCGCCTCCACCACTCTGCGCCTCCACCACTCTGCGCCTCCACCCACTCTGCGCCTCCACCACTCTGCGCCTCCACACTCTGCGCCTCCACCACTCTGCGCCTCCACCACTCTGCGCCTCCACCACTCTGCGCCTCCACCACTCTGCGCCTCCACCACTCTGCGCCTCCACCACTCTGCGCCTCCACCACTCTGCGCCTCCACCACTCTGCGCCTCCACCACTCTGCGCCTCCACCACTCTGCGCCTCCACCACTCTGCGCCTCCACCACTCTGCGCCTCCACCACTCTGCGCCTCCACCACTCTGCGCCTCCCACCACTCTGCGCCTCCACCACTCTGCGCCTCCACCACTCTGCGCCTCCACCACTCTGCGCCTCCACCACTCTGCGCCTCCACCACTCTGCGCCTCCACCACTCTGCGCCTCCACCACTCTGCGCCTCCACCACTCTGCGCCTCCACCACTCTGCGCCTCCACCACTCTGCGCCTCCACCACTCTGCGCCTCCACCACTCTGCGCCTCCACCACTCTGCGCCTCCACCACTCTGCGCCTCCACCACTCTGCGCCTCCACCACTCTGCGCCTCCACCACTCTGCGCCTCCACCACTCTGCGCCTCCACCACTCTGCGCCTCCACCACTCTGCGCCTCCACCACTCTGCGGCCTCCACCACTCTGCGCCTCCACCACTCTGCGGCCTCCACCACTCTGCGCCTCCACACTCTGCGCCTCCACCACTCTGCGCCTCCACCACTCTGCGCCTCCACCACTCTGCGCCTCCACCACTCTGCGGCCTCCACCACTCTGCGCCCTCACCACTCTGCGCCTCCACCACTCTGCGCCTCCACCACTCTGCGCCTCCACCACTCTGCGCCTCCACCACTCGGCGCCTCCACCACTCTGCGCCTCCACCACTCTGCGCCTCCACCACTCTGCGCCTCCACCAACTCTGCGCCTCCACCACTCTGCGCCTCCACCACTCTGCGCCTCCACCACTCTGCGCCTCCACCACTCTGCGCCTCCACCACTCTGCGCCTCCACCACTCTGCGCCTCCACCACTCTGCGCCTCCACCACTCTGCGCCTCCACCACTCTGCGCCTCCACCACTCTGCGCCTCCACCACTCTGCGCCTCCACCACTCTGCGCCTCCACCACTCTGCGCCTCCACCACTCTGCGCCTCCACCACTCTGCGCCTCCACCACTCTGCGCCTCCACCACTCTGCGCCTCCACCACTCTGCGCCTCCACCACTCTCTGCGCCTCCACCACTCTCTGCGCCTCCACCACTCTCTGCGCCTCCACCACTCTCTGCGCCTCCACCACTCTCTGCGCCTCCACCACTCTCTGCGCCTCCACCACTCTCTGCGCCTCCACCACTCTCTGCGCCTCCACCACTCTCTGCGCCTCCACCACTCTGCGCCTCCACCACTCTTTCTTCCGGCTGCAGTAGCTCTGTTAGATACTGGTAGACCTCGAGAGGGAATAAATGTAATATGTTAAAATTAATTTTTTTTTGTTTGCTATTTCATTTTTTTTGTTTTGTTTTTTTTTTTTGTTTTTTTTTGTTTTTTTTTTTGTTTTTTTTTGCACATTTCACTGAATATTGGAGTAGTAACCAGACAACAACAGAAAGGGAATGTGAAACAGTAGAATGTACTTGCATGGCTATAGTTTACATGGAAGTTGATTCTAACCACAATGTGCAATGATTTCTATTTTCTTTTCATCATTCGTCCGCGGCTTCAGGACACGACACCATGCTGAGAAAGGATTCCCGTTGAGAATGGGACCAGCTGTGAATCCACGTATGGAAGTTCACTGAAAAAAACAATGTGAAGGAAGTCCTCAGCTCCCCAACAGAAAACCACCGTAGAACCCAGGCACTCCTACCTGCCAGATCCTGAACTTGAGTTACTGCCAAACCACTTCACGGGGAAGTAGTGCCACCAGGGTTTTCCTGTTCTGAGATGTCACCACCAACGTAACTAGCTCATAGAGTCTCCAAAGCTCGTTCACAGAGATGATAGAAAACATGAGGAAAAAGCAGCCTACTCCAGAACACTGAGTCCATTTCACCAGGACAGTAGAACAGCACCCTAAGTAACCTGAATCTCAACCTCCTCTGCAGTGACAATTCTTCCCATATCTCCTCATGCTTTCTTTATAGCAAAGGTCAAATGATCCCCACCTGGCAGATGTCACTTCACATGTGTGGAGTAAGAGACCTTGTGGAATAGGCTCATCAACCTGGCTTCAGTGTTTTAGGTTCAATTGCTCCTTATCGCTAATAGAAATCACCTGACAAGGGGCTCAGTGGTTAGTGTTGCCCTAATGAATTAATTACAAAAGGCACTTAAGGGTCCTATTTCTGCTAGTCATTCTGTGAGGAAAATTAGTACAGAGGCTGTTAAAATAAGATTAACAAACCTAAATAAAAGAAAGACATAAAAGAAAAAAGAAAATGACCTAAAAGGCAAAATTGCCGTCATAGATTTTCATCTGTCTAGTCACGACAGATCAAGAATATAGCCATCAGAATGACTTTTCTTGACATCATTTTTATTTAAATTTGCTTCTCTGAGATCTCTTCTTTATGCAGAACTTCTCAAAATCTTGTGCCATGACCTCTGACTACAGTATTTACTTTGGCTGCACATAAACTATCACGTATAAGTGCCAGGATCCGGATCCTCACTCCCTATTCAGGTCAAGGACCGGGCTGGAAGTTTTGGCTTTAATTTGGTTACATGACTACGTTGCTGTTGCTGTGGGTTTCCCCGGTAAGCAGCTAAGCACCACACAGCCGTTCGCTCCCTCTCCCCCCTCCCTCTCTGGGATGGATGAGAGAAATAGGAAAACGAAGCTTGTGGGTCGAGACAGAGACAGTTTATTAAGACAGGAAAAAAAAAAAAATAATAGCAGCGAGAATAGTACTGCTACTACTAATGCGTACGGAATACGTGATGCACAATGCAATTGCTCACCACCTGCTGACCCATGCCCAGCCTATCCCCGAGCAGATGGCCCCCCCACCATCCCGGCTAGCCACCCCTACCTATTGTTTAGCGTGACATGAGAGGGTATGGAATAACCCTTTGGCCAGTTTGGGTCAGCTGTCCTGGGTCTGTCCCCTCCCAGCTCCTGCTGCACCCCCAGCGTGCCCACTGGCAGGACAGAGCGAGAAGCTGGAAAAGTCCTTGGCTTGGTGTAAGCACTGCTCTGCAACAGTTCAAACATCAGCGTGGTATCAATGCTCTTTTCATCCTAATCCACAACATAGCACCCTACCAGCTCCGAGGAGGAAAATTAACTCTATCCTATCTGAAACCAGGACAGGTGTTTTCTGGCAGGTTGTGGGAAGAAGATTGGCTGGCTTGGGGGAGCTTCTGCACACATGGCTTTTAGGCTGCAGCCAAAGCATTCCTCTAGATCTGGAAGTTTGAAGATGGTTGAGTGGTTGGAAAGCTGCCTGGCAGAGAAGGACCTGGGAGTATTTTTTGATAGCGGGCTGAGTATGAGCCAGCAATGTGCTCAGGTGGCCAAGAAGGCCAATAGCATCGTGGCTTGCATAAGAAAGTGTGTCCAGTGGTTCTAGGGAAGCTCTGGTGAGGCCGCACCTCGAGTACTGTGTTCAGTTTTGGGCCCCTCTCCACGAGAAGGACATTGAGGTGCTCGAACAAGTCCGGAGAAGGGCAATGAAGCTGGTGAAGGGTCTGGAGAACAAGTCTTATGAGGAGCGGCTGAGGGAGCTGGGATTGTTCAGCCTGGAAAGGAGAAGGTTCAGGGGTGACCTTATCACTCTCTACAGGTACCTTAAAAGAGGCTGTAGAGAGGTTGGGTGTAGTCTATTCTCCCACGTGCCTGGTGACAGGACGAGGGGAAATGGGCTAAAGCTATGCCAGGGGAGCGTAATAAATGACCGAGTCCCAAATAGGATTGCAATTACAGTTCACAGTTTATTAAAGGAATAGAGGTAAGCAAACAGCGCTGGGTGCACCGGGAGTCTCTGCTCCAGCAAGACGCACCAAGTTACATCAGGTGGCTGTTTTTTATGCTCCTAGGCTAATACGTATTCATTACAACTTCTAGAAAAGGCAGGGTTATTATAATTAGTTCCCGGAATCCGAACCCTCCCACTGGCACATGCGTATCAGTCTCTGGTGGTCCCTCTGGGGGTCTCTCGTGCTGAAGGCTTGTAGTCTTCCTCCCAGGCTTTTTCCTTGTCCTTCTCCTTTGTCCGTCTTGGCCAGATGTCAGAGACTTGTGCAGCGTCCCATGCAAGCTTTGTCTTTTAGTCGTCCTTCAGCTTTTTCCCTTCTCCTTAAGCTCTTGGCCACATATCAGAGACTTGCATAGTGTCCCATGCAATAGTCATAATAGTTTGCAGTTATTCTGAAACCCCTTCGTTATCTCCTATTGACACAAATTGCTGCACAATTCCTTTGCAAGATACAAGAACTATATACATTAACCACTCTGTTTTTCTTAGACTTGTGGTTATATAAGGGCACATAAGACAGAAGGTCACATTCATCATACCATGCGGCCCTAGCACTGTTCCATACTGACACGAATCAGATGAACATATCTCACACCTTTCCTTGCCTTGCCATTTTTTATCTTTTCCTTCCCTTTTCCCTGAAGAACAGACTAGGTCTATAGGCAGGGACCCCCGACGACCACCTACCCCAGGGGCGGTTCCCTCGCCTCCACCCCCGTTCCCCCCCGGGCGCGGCTCCGAGCCCCGCTCTCGGTCCCGGCGCTGAAGGCGGCGGCCGAGGTCGCCACCTGCTGGGGCTGTCTCGGGGCCGTCTCGGGGCCATTCGCATCCCTCCGGGTCCGAGCGGGGTCCGGGGCGTGGGATGGGACTGCCTCTGGGGAGAGACCCTCTGGAGATGCCGCCAGCAGCGCCTGGCAGCGGGCGGCAGCGCCCCTTCGCGGTGGATCCATCAGCTCTGCTCTTTGGGGTCTGGCCCTGCTAAGGGACCGGTGGAAATCAATGCTAACCCCAAACATGAACGCATCCCAAGGCACCCTGCAAAACCTTAGTGCCAGAGGGAGCATCTCTGCCATCAAGCAATTAGGATGATTAAAATATCTATAATGATAAAATAACTCCTCGTTGACTGGTACACTGTAGACAGTCATCCTCAGCTGATGACAAGGAAGAAAGTCGAGGCTCTCCACAGCCCTTGGAATACGGCTATCTAGTGTTTTCCCATATATATATATAGGAAATAGATACATATATACAGGCATAAAAAGCAGCCTGCTTTTGCAGTGACTGATGGTATGACAACAGTTAAACAGCTTTGTTTCCACAAACCCATACACACAAGAAATGCTCAGATTAGTAAAGTCGTCTGCACATTCAAAGGCTGTATAATTTGGAGGAAGGAAAGTTTTTTCTATTGAGCACTGATATTACCTTAACAATGAACTCAGAACTCCTTGTGCTAGAAGGTAAATAACACTATAAAACACTTTAAAATGTGTGTCAGATTGTTCTTTCCAGTAAGTCATGGAAAGTAATTCATGTGAAGTCACAATAATTCATGTAAAGTCACAAGAAATACAGTGCTCTGAGCCCTGATACTCATTGGCCAGCGTTTAGCAGTAAATAATACAAATCCCATTCCTAAATCAGAATACCAATTTTGTTTGACATGATTTAATTTTAGTTGATTTGCCTTAATTACAAAAAGACCATTGTGGTAACAATATATTTTCAAACAAGCTTGCAGGGACAGTATCTTGGCTTGCTTAAATTGATGTAAGAGTACACTGCTGCCAAAAGCAGTTCTCCTGCTGCATCTCTTGCACTTTGCATTGGTAATCACACAACTGCTGACCCAGATGACATGCATTCAGTGCACTGATGTGACCCCACCCAGAACGATCATTTAATCATTAGTGTCAATGCAAGAAGATACACAGCCTGGTCAAGATGGGGTAAATCCTGACTGCCCCTTCCACAGACTTAAGCCACCCGGGACACTTTCTCCAAGGTCCTGAAAAATCTGAAGATAGCAAATGATAAAGATCAATGAAGAACAAGTTAAAATAAAAGGATTATATTCCTTTCTCTTCTCACGTATACCATAAATACAATACTCAGAAAAGCAGACTCTAGGGCAATTCCTGTTTTAAAGGCATGACTTCCAAAAGGAGTGTTGCATTGCATTATCCTCAGGGTCCGTATTCACTTCAGTCCTTAAGTCTCTGATCGATTGATTACTTGTAAATGACCCCCAAACTGACTCTTTCTTGTGACTGCACCAAAGGCATCTGCATCTTCTTTGCCAGCAGGTCCACTGGGCCTGCATGGTACCCTTTTTGTCATACCAACCTCTCCCAGCGCTCTTGTGCTGAAACCCCCTGGTGACAAATGCAGACTATTTTCTTTCAGTGTTCTTTTCAGCTACTGATTTTTGCTTTCATGTTTTCTCTCTCTGTCTTCTTGGTTTGGCTTTACAGTGATAGAATGTGTTGGGTCATATTAGCTGATACTTGCAGAGTAAAAAAAAAAAAAAAAAAGTAATTGTAATAACTGCTCATGTAGGTCTCAAAAAGCTGGTATTAAGCCAAGGTTTTCCCATGTAATCATGGTGTCCATACAGCAGAGCTGTCATCTCTATACACTTAGTAAAACAGAAAGCTTCAGCACTCTTTAGGCAGGCTTATGGAATGATGTGTTAATCTACTCCCATTAACAAGACAGCAAATTCCCAGTTGATTACCCAATTCAAATTAAGCACATGTAATCTCTCTGTGACACTCACAATGGTGTTAGTGTAATGCATACAGAGAGAGAAGGGATGAAGTCAGTGTGCTCAGGAGTGCTCAGCTGCCAACATTAATGTCATTTAGGCACTCTGAATTTTAATATGGGTCATTAACACCAAACTCCTGTAATCACTGCTTTAAAGACAGAGCTTCTTAAATGTGTCAGTCTTCCGCTGTGCACTACGGAAGCAGCGCAGGCGATGTTACAGGTTTTCCAGTTCGTGGTAGGATGGGGGAGTCCCGTCAGACTCTACCATGGACGTGTACTTTATGGGAGGTGGCGGTGGCTTGAAAGATGGAGGTCTGTTCATACTGCAATGGAAGAGACAAAATATGGTATAACACAAAAGCCACATGAAAGACCATTTGTAAAATGTTCACAGGAGGAAGTAAATGGACACTATGCAGAGGGTATAACAGCACCTGACATTTGCTCTTACACATTGTGACTTCCCTGTTTCTGTTTTACAGCCCCGATGCAACTCCTGGTGTCCATATGGCTTTCTGAACTCCCACCTCACAGTTTTACTTTATTCATGTTTTAAAAAAAGATCATGGCCCTGGTGAACCATTCAAAGCCATCACAGGGATCTTCTGCTCCTGCTGCTCTTTGAAGATATATTTAAGGAATTGTAACTTCTTTCTTTTGCCAATTTATAGGCCAAGATAAAGTAAGGTCCTGTCCCAAATCAGTGATAAAAATCAATTCAATTTTTACCTTTGATGTATAGGGTTTGTTGTTATGTTTTGAAAGGACTTTCTAGGACAGCAAATGATCCATGATCTCCATGATTTTTCAAACATTTTGGTAATGGTAGTAAGAGTATAAATAATTGCCTTTTAGATGCCACTTTCCTCAGTGGGTTTCTGAATGCTTTACTAAGGAATTAAACTTTGGCCGTAATTACAAAGTCAGTGCTTCTCTGACTGGGATTGTGTATCAGGTAGCCTACTTTCACATACATTATTCACAACTCCTGTAGTACCCTAGAAGTACAATTTCATTAAAGTATGTCCTCAAGTAACCACGCAAAATGAGAGAGCAAAGACAGGTGGCAGGGAGGCTAATAGAAGTGGGAGGCTCTGGGGGAAAAAAATTACTTGCACTCTTCCCTTATACTCTACAGTATGCACCAAACCTGCACTACAGCTCTTTTTTTAAGGTTTATTTTAGAGATAACCTACAAAATGGATGAGAAGACTGAGACCACTCTACACTGCATACTCCTGTATAAAAATTGGCATTAGTGATCCACATACTTAAGGGCCTTGTACACTGTGGATAGTTTCAGGTGGAAGTCCAAACACCAGAGACTGGAGTTTGTGCTGTACTATACCTCCCACCCATTCTGTTCCCCTTGCTGATACTTACATCTCTTTTTGGTACTGACACCATTTCCTGATGCCTAACACTATCAGAAAGCTGCAGAAGAGGAGCATGACAGCTACCACCGTTGGCCAGGGGAAGCGACTGGCTACTATATTCTTCACGTTGCCTGCAAGGGACACAGTAATGAGCCAAACCTGGTCAGAATGAGAGATGTTTGTGCCTGCTGCCTTTGGCTTGCTGATCCTCCCCAGCCCTGCAGACAAAGTGGCCCCAGCCCAATACAGGGTAGCCGGGTTTCCAGGCTGAGCACTGTAAAACCTGAACATCACTGCTCCAATTCATGGACTTTTGTTCTGGCTGGGTTTGCAGGCTGGTTTCAGCCATTCCCCAGTGGTTAAATGAGGTTATTTAGGCACAGCCGGACAAGCACTTCATCAGGAAACCACTGGTCTTCTCTGTTCCCCCATGAGCTCCTCCACAGAGAGGCAGCATGTCACAGCACACCCCCAGTACCCATTCCCACTACTTAGGATTTGTAGGATCAGGTCTCACCAGTACTATTGACCAGTGGGATGATGGTAAAGAAACCTTTCCATCTGGTAGCTGAAACAGGCTGGTCTGTTATGCTTAAGGACACATTACCTGCAAAGATATGGTACAAAACATTTTTAGTAGCTTACTTGTTATTTGTTTTGTTTTATTATTATTTATTTCAACAGACAATATGTCCAAACCATTCTATGATTCTGTGTTTAGAAGCCACCATCATTTACCCTGCTGAGGACTGGAAATCAAATTCCAGAGTCTGTGTGTCAAAGTTCACTTTGTGAGACAATTGTGTTTTTGGCCTACAAGCTACTGCTAGGCAAAGAAATGTACTTTTATCAAATTAAAGGACATTAGAAGAAACAGGGAATACTGGTAAATACCTATTAAGATATTCCAGCAAGCCAGCACTGAGCTGCACAGCAGTCTGGGAGAACGATAAGATTTTTGCCTCTTTGATGGTAATGAAAAAGCTAAAGATACTAAGTGGCTTAGCAGCAACACAGAGTCTGCTTCTGCCATGACTGTGTGAAACCTCAGTCTCCTGTATCAAGAGCTGTGTCTGAATCACAAAAATAATATTTCATTTGTTTGTAGACAGACATTTTACCTTTCCTAATACAGTTAAGCAGCCAGCCTTTAAGATCAGTGCTGCCTAAGGACACATGCCTGTTTTCTCAAGCTTTGTGTTCATGTCCTCCAAAACAATAGCTAAAATATGCAGCTAGACAGCTATACGGCATTTGCAGAACCATCACAGCACTTACTATGCACAGGGGTTGTATCCTCAGATGAGAGTGTTGCATTCTTGAGGTTCTTTGGGGATTCAGTGGTGGAATCATTCAGATCTGTAAAAAGCAGTAATAACCTTAAATGATCGTAACAGCCTGTACGTGACTGCTTCATTAGGCTTAACTGTAGCTATTTTATATCATCATTTTTCCCTGATGCAAACAACAAATGGAATAACAGAGATACCTGAGAGTCTTTCATGTAATTGCTGGTTTATAGATCCAAGAAAAAAAATTTCCATTGTTTAAATGATGTAGATGAGTAACCAGGCTGAGCCAGGAAAATCTAGCTTTCTCATGAGATGCTGGTTCTGACTGAGATTAAGCAATCAAACATACATATATAGAGAGATTTTTTTAAAAAATACATATATATGTGCATATATACATGTATAAATACATATTTTAATACATAGCTAATATATAAATACATTTAATTAAAAAAAAAAAACTACCAAATATATATGCTTATATATATGTGCACTCAAGCATATATGAATGCTCAATTACAATCAGAAAAAAAAAATCAATCTACTTTTAGGGCACTCTAAAAATTCACTAAGAGTTTTTGATGTTAATTCAATTTAGTTTTTTTTTTTTTTCCTTGTTTATCAGGTATTAAATTCTACAGGGGCAAGCATGGTAGACGTGCCATTTAGAAGAGGACAAAAGAAAAAAAAAAAGGGACATACACTTAGAAATCTCAAAGCACTGCGCTCTATACAGCATGCCAATGAAAGCTACATATTATTATTTACATAATGGTTTGTGTTACAGCCTCAGAGAATTTAGCTAATAGTGATAATCCCCACTGCAGGAGCCCCGTGGCTCTGGGAGGACATACTGGAACACATTGGTATGCCTCAGCAAGCACATCGGTGCTTGTGTGCTCTGAAATTGTTCTCAGTTATAGCTGCCTCACAGAAGACCCTTCAAGCTCATGCCTCAGCTAGCTGTCAGGCAGACGTGGATGTAGGAAAGACAGTGAGTGGTGCTGTACCTCCCTTAAATAAAATGTGGTTCAGCGTGCTTTTTAACAAAATTGCAACGGGCAAGCCATGCACGAGCAGGATCGCAAAGCGAGCGGAGTTGTCACAAGGTTTCAGTCTAAATGTGTGGTTGTGGGTTATATGCCAGTATATAACCACCAGTGTGCTGCAAAAATATATTCAGAATAATGAAAGTGGCTGCTGTATTTGCACTTCAGCCAGAAGATGACTGCCATACAAATACAATAGCGCACTGACAGGTCCTGCCTGTCCTGAAAGCACGAAGCAAGATGTTAAAAAAGAAAGTAATTTCTGGCATCCTGCTGCCAAACAAAGGTTTTCTGAAGGGAAGAGTTGAGAAAAAATGTCCACCTCCACCTTTTTTTCATTCATTGGTCTTTAATAAAGCTGCCTTCCAATGTTCTATTAGCCAGCCTTTATAGCCCCACATTAGCTCACAATTTCATTGCTGCTCTGTGATTTTATTTAGCTTCTCCAGTAATTTATTTTGTCTATAAACTGCCCTCAATACTCAATGCATTTGCATAGTAACCCTCCTAATTTTAATATTATTAAATTAAATACATCTAATAAAAGCAGTATACGGAAACATTTTTCATTCCTCTTTCACTGCTGCAAATCCTTAAGGCTTGGAAGACTTGAGCCTTTGTCTTCTAACTCAGTGCAATTCAGCAGAGGAATGCTTTTGTGGAGCATTAAAAAGCTAGTACAGATGACACCACTTGATGTTTGTTCTCTGTTTGGACACTACTTTTCCATGTTTAGTAATGATTTTTGGATGGCAGCATGATGACTATCAGGTGACAACTGAACATAAGCACCGCAGATGTCATGGGCTTGGCAAAGGCATTGTGAACTGAGAGCCACATAGAGTACCTGCTGCTGCACTTTTCGTCAGAGACTCCAGACCACCACAGCTGTGCATCCTAAGTCCATACGACATTTGCACTTTGCAGCACCTCTAATTAGCTTCATAGCATCCCTGCTACAGTCCTATCAAGCAAAGGAGATTTATCATCTACTCACATGCTGTTGTCACATTCTCTGTGAATGCTGTGATGCTGGTATAGCTTTTTGTCTCTGTGGCAGAAATCAGCTCTCCTGTTGAAAAACACATATGCTTGCAAAAACTGCTGTTGAGGACCCCATTATTTGTTCTTCATTTTTTTTCCTCTTTCTTCCCTAAATGTCACATAGTTGTAAACTACTATCTGAAATTTTAGCTTCTCCCAAACATCGCCAGAAAATCCTGTGTCTGGTTTTAAAAGTCTGTCACAAGCTAGAAACTTAAGAGGAGTTAAGTGAGCTGTATGAATAAACTGAGAAAACATGGGGTATTGAGGCCTGAATTTTTGGCTTTCAGCTGAAAATCAGAAACTGTGATTGTACTGGCTTGTTTCAACCTGAAATCAACGGAAAGTGTTGAAAAAGATGTAAGTAAACTTAAATTTGGACAGGGTTTTACCAGGTCCAATGGGATGAAACTGTTTTCCCAACTAGCAAGGAGAAGTTTTGAGGAAATTAGTACAGGGGGATTCACACCTACAACGGCTGGCACCAAATACCAACTTCTTTAACATTTTTCTTGAATCTTCTTTTGAAGCAGTGAGTGTTCTGGAGATGAACTAGCTATTTATCTGATATTCAGATGCAGACAGATGGTGGTTAGCAAGTAGACCTCTATCTGTCCATGAGGAATATTTCACATTTACTAAAAAGAAACCATCTTCCTTACACCTGTCTCATTTTTGGAAAAGTGCCATTGTGCCATCTGAACAAACCTGAGAAAGAGAAATGCAGCTATAACTTAGCAGTCAAAGCCTGGGGATCTCTGGCAACAGAGATGGAGGTTAAGGAAAGACCAGGCTATGGATTTAAGAGCCTTCGCTTTGCATCCCCTCCTCCTCCCATCTATTTCTGTGTACTATACTACTATATTCTTGTATTAATTCCCATCTGCCTCTTGGGTTTTCATTTTAAAAACATGCAAAATAAGGGAAACTGAAACACCACCCCCACCACCTTATTTTATTTTATTATTATTTTTTTTAAGTCTCAGGCTTGGATTTAGCATCTTGACTCAGCTGCAACCCTAAAGGTCTGACCCCAAGTGCAATGGTGGGACTGGTGTGGGAACCAGAAGCAAGCCAGAGATGTGCAGCACTAACCCACACTCAGTACAGTGCTCCTGCCACATGTCAGGGACACTGGTTAAAAGGCAGTTTTTTCCTGGGCTGTTTACAGCAGAGAAATGGCTCAACTTTGGCTTGCACTATGATGTTGACATTTTACCTTCCCAAGCAGTTATGATGTACAACCCAGTAAGGGGAAGCCTCTCTATTCACATTGTATATTTATAGTCCTACAGACAAAATTATTCCCCCTTAGTGCCCTGCTGCCAGCCAGGTCTCTGCTTTAGTGGGTGGGGAGTGCAGCCCAAGAAGAGGCCAGATTTAATTTCACTGCTGCTGCAATCTCTGTTCCTGCCCTGGCATACATATATATAACCTCATCTTTGCCCCAGGCTTCATATGAAGGTATTCACCTCCCAAACAGTGCTTTTCTGGGTCAGAATCAATCCTTTTGCTCAGCCTTTTCCTCCAGTACTGCTTCACATGTCACCAATTGCATTGCACTCACACCTGGGCAAATATTGCTGTAACATAATGATGGTTGCTTTAAGTGAAGTTTGCAGGGTTGAATCACTCAGGTGAAGGAGGACAATCAACACCTGACAGGCTCATGAAAGTCAGCCTGTTGTAAGGCATTTTGTTTTGTCTGGAGAGTAAGACAGCTGCAGACCCCATGGACTGCATTTATTCTTGCTATTGATACTGTGGTGCTATGGAAGGGAAGGCAGTGGTTCAGCACCGTGGAGCTGTATCGCCTCTTCCTCATCATGCCTGTGCTGCCATTTTGTACATGCTATTTGACTCTAAAATGGGAGTTTCTTATGCTGTGATTCATGCTGAAGCAATATGGAAATCATTTTGGCCAAATTCATTACCTTGTGTTGTGGAAGCGTGAGCCAAACTTGCTCGAGTTGTGAAATCTGGGGAGGTCGAAAGTGTAAACTGATGCTCTAAAGAAACACAGGTTAAACAGTATCCCATTTAGTTGGTAGAATGCTTAAAAACTAAAATTAAGAAATCATAGAACAACTCAGGTGAGTATAGAACGAAGAACTTGCAGCAAGCATTGAGAAAACACAGACTATGTGACGGGAGCCTACTGTTGGGGTTGCAGGTTAAACGCTCAGGACACAACCCATCTATTCAGCAGGTAATCAGTAAAAGTCAAGGTGATTAAAGCAGACCCTTTCACATGGGCCAGCTATTATTTAATTGTGATTTTACACATAGGGCTCAGTTTAATGGCCATGGGGCGGATTATGCACATGCCAGTGGTAATCCTCGGCCTAGCTGGGGCCTGTCCAGAAGTGGGTCTCACAACATGTCACAACTGTATAGGCCTGGGTGACCACACTCTCTTGTGGGTTTTCCTATCAATTACAGAAGATAGTTTAATGTGGTTATCCATATGATTCCTCTTGACAAGCAGTGACACTTATCCCATATCATTAATGAATAAGGATGATATGCTACTGTCAGGTCAAGATAAAAATGGGGATTTAAACTTCTTTTCTGTCACAAGCACATCGCCATCATAACAGGAAAAATTTATTTATGGTTTTATAGAATTTCTATTCCATTTTATAAAAGGTATAAGAATAATATTTGGTATTCATCATGCCATTTTACATGCTGTTCTAATGTGACAGAGCTTTAGTAGGATTTGTGTTAGCTCTCTTCCCGGTTGACTTTGCAGCTCACAAATTCCCATCCAAGAGCATTACAGGTACTGCCAGTGTCAGGGCACGCTGACCTCTCACTGACATTCTTCTGGCTCTGTGTACATGGCATTTAAGAAAAGGTCAAGCAAAGATCATACATCTATTGACTGAGTAATAAGGAAAGCTTTTTTAATTTTTCCTTACCTGAGGTAGTCATGACAGCAGATGTAAGTGCTGAATTTCCAAGGTCTATAACAAATCAAAGCAAACACCTTTACTAAAGATGAAAAGGGTATTTATTCTGCTTTAGAAAAGAGGGTCATTCAAGGGCTCAAGAGTGAGAGAAAGTGCATCACACAATTTCCAAATAATCTTTCAATGCATAACCTAGCCAAGTGGTCCAGCAAGAAACAAGAAGCACCAGAGGGAATTTTGCTGTGTAACCCCTAGGGAAAGCAAAGGTTTGGGGGCCAAAGGGTCTGGAACCACTACCACCTCTGATCTGCACCTCACTCAAAAAGCAGCAGTGAGTTACACGGTTTTAACCCGTGCAGACATATGTGCCTTATTAGCATGCAGGTTGCAATAACATATGTGATCTGCTGGTGGCACCTGCATAGCTCCTTCCGTGAGGCATTTCAGAGGCTGTAACCCTGGCAGGAAATATCATGAACACCTCCCTGAAAAGTGCTCACCAGGTCTTCAAAGAAGTGGACAGAGATAGGGATTTACTCCTTGCAATTGAAGGGCTCTTAACCATCTGGCCAAGCACAACAGAGACATGGTCCTGCCCAAGCATCATTTACATTCCAAGTAAGAGGAAGCTTACGTAGAAAAAACACACCACTTTCCTTGCCATTTATCTACAGCATTTATCTGACACAAGCACATAACCCGCTGCTGAAACACAGCTGTCTCCTGTACACAGCAAAACAAGCTATCCAAGGATAGACATCTCCAAAGCACTTCAGATGATGTTCAGGGAGAACGATTTATCTATCTGCGATAATCTGACAATAAGACAAACTTGCAGGGGCAGAGCACAGATTTTCCAAATTTACACAAATTAAGACACATTCCATCAGTTTCTTAATTAGGCAAAAGTGTTGAGAATCTTGGCTGTGTACTTAAGCAGAATGTCAAACCATTAGTAGGGAAGTTATTTTTAATTACCAGCTCAGTGATGAAAGAACTATATTCAAATGCTAGCTGAAGCATCAGAAAGAACATTAAGCGCCCCTCAAGGCCGGAGTTTAATTATGTTTGGGTTTAACTATGATGGATTACATCACAAAAATATCTGTGCATTGTATTTGCTCTGAAGTCATAGCTGCAGAAAAGGATACCTTACTATTCACCCAGAAGCAAGTCTGCAAAACTGTTTCTCCAATAGCTTAATAGCTTCAAGAATTTATCGATGCACCCCTAACATAACCTAGGTTATTTTGTCTTCTAATTTATCCTACCTTCTGAAGCCATGTTGGTAAATGCTTGGGATGAGGCTTCATTAGATGTATTGTCTGTGAGGGAGGAAGGAAAAAACAAAACAAAACCCAAACCAAAACAAACAAACAAGCAAAACAAAACAAAACAACAACAACAACAAAAAAAAAAAACAAAACAGAAAGATGAAAGCAGTTCCTAAAAGAAGTTAGGCTTTTGTTAGAAAGGTTAAAAATGTAGTCTAGAGTTTGTGCCATTAGTATGGCACCTTCACAGAATATTGCCAAGAATTAAACTAATTTTCCTCCTTTTTGTCACATCTAAATACATTAACATTTTTATACAGAGTGGATCTATCTTAGTGTTAGTATAGCCCACAGGCAAAAATGTAGACTTCTTTAATTGACGTCTCTCTGATTTGAATACATTTCTACAAAACTGCAAATTGGGTGAAATGAGTAATTTTGAAGAAAAATGATCATTCATCTCCCTTCCTTCCAAAGCTATATTTCAAGGGACTAAGCTTTGGGTTTTGATGTAGTCTTTGCTGAAAAACATACCAATAATATATCCAGAGCCAAAAGCTAATACAGGTGTAAGTAGTTACCATGGTACATGGTGTACACATGAAGGCTGCTCCAGGGCCAGCAGTTCTGTTATATTATCTGTGCAGCAAGGAACATACATAATAGGAAAATAAAAAAAAATAAAAATAAATAAATAAATAAAAAGGTTTAACTGTGCATTTGCACCTGAAGACAAGGTGTGCACAAGAGGGTGCTAAAGGAAGTCTGTCTGCCCTTCTTGCTAGCCACTCTGCAGGACTCCTCAGTGAGAAATACATGGTTGTAACAGCTCACTGGTGCTGTGTAGCTAAGTTAGTGTATTTTTGGGTATGGGAATTGCAGCAAGATACTGCCTAACAAATACCAAACATCTTATATTTGTGTAGGAGTTGCTTTTCTTCTCAACTTGATGAGTTTACTCAGGCATTTTTGTCAGGTTTCTTGGCTCATTTAAAGACTTGAGCTAAGGAACCTGCCAGAAAGCTCAAGCTGTGTGATGAATGTGTTTAACAAAACTTCCATACACTTCCCATTTCTTCTGTAATTTAAATAGCAGAGAATACGTGTTTTGGTATTCTTAACATTTCAGATATGTCCTATCTATGAAAAACCTACCAAAAGAAAGAAATATTTCTTCTGATGAAATATTCCTTGTTTCATTCCTGAGGAAGGGAAACAGACATACACACGAGAATGTTGTATGTGCCTGGTGGGTCTCTTGTAACATTAGCATAGATCTCAGCTGGTAGAAACCATCACTGTCTTGTGAGTCTTCTTGTTCAACAGACATTTCTGGAGAAGAAAAAATAAACACACACACAAAAAGAAAATAAAAATCTGCAACCCCTTTTCATAACACTTCAAATTATAAATCAGTCGTGCAAAATGCCACTACTGAAAAGCAAGCTTATATAGCTGAAGGTTTCTTGGCTGAGATGCTATCCAAAGCAGTCCACCCAGATGGACACCTACATGCTCCCATCAGCAGGAGTGGTTTAGCAACCATTGCTTTTCCTCTGAATCATTTCTACAGTTATGTAATTGACCTGTTAATGCGACCTATTACCTTCAGACTGCTCCGTCAGTCTTGCTTGGTCCACATACCACACGATGCTTGGCTTGGGAAATGCCTTCCTCACAATGCAGCTCACATTAGGCTGTGGGACAATGAAAAACAGTTAGCCTCCAGCATTCTCTCCTGCCTGCCACTGCTGGCATACAAAATCCACGCTGGACAGAGTTGCTCCTACAATCTTATTTACACACAACCCTCCTTGGTCATGAAGTACTCTCTCCACATTGCACTTCTTCCCCTACCACTTTCCTAGTTGGAGACACCGTTGAAGGAAAGTTAAGGGACACCCCTATTGCCACCCTGGGGGTGATGGGGCTTCAATGCCCGTCAGTTCAGTTCAGTGGCTGGAGAGGCATGGGGTGACCCCCCAGGACCCAGCCCAGCAAAGACAAACACTCATATGGAGGAATACTGGCACTGGTAATGTGTAGGGTAAGGGGGCAAGAATGAGACACCTCCTGATCATCATGCAAATCTTTTATTTATTGGGCAGATAAGGAGACAAATCCCATTAAAAAGTCTACCTAGCACATTAATATGTTGAATGCACAAAATTAGATACCTTTGTAGAGGGCATTGTACTTAAGAGGTTTCCAAAAGTCACAAGAATTCGCATGTGTTAGATGCAGTAGTCCTGGCTGTACGCCAGATGTTTTAAAAAAATATCTGTGTGCTCATTTCACTTTCTCCTCAAGCAACGAAAGGGAAGAACTGGACCTCAAAATCAAGGCTGGATGAAGGGGTGGGCACTAGCAAGATGCGAGGTCTCATCTGCATGCTGCCTGGATGTTCCCAATTATATTTACTTAGTAGCTTATGGCACTAAGAGAAATTGCCTTGTCCATTTAAACACAAGGCATTCATATGTGACTTAATGCCGCACAACGCCATCTTGCATCCACTTTTGAAGTGGGTTGCGCACAACACATTTAGTTGAAAGCAAGTTTGATATATTGCAGGCAGCAGAAATCAAACGTTCGTTATGAAGACTGAGACTATCCAGCTGAAACTCTTTCCTTGCCATTGTAAATAGTCACGATCTCAGTGTAATTGCTTTCCCCTCTTTTCTCTTCATTGTTCCCTTATTATTCAGCCACTTTTAGTTCATAATATTTTTATAGATATTTCCTGTGAAGAAATACTAATCTGACATCCAAAGTAGATTTAAGCCCAATGAGAAAGCATAGAAAAGAGAGGGGAAGCAGTCGGTGTTTGTTTGGAGATGAAAAATGGACCAACTCTTCTTTGAAGAGTTTCTACTGGTTGGCCCAGTGACAGCAGCACCCCCTCCTCTGCTCAGCAGGACAGGACAGACAAACACCTGCAGGGTCCAATGCTACAAGGGAAAATAAGTCACCACGGAGAATATAGTGGTTTTACAGAGTGGCCTAGCTCAGGCTTAGTCTGAACACAGGTGGATATGGTGAACACAAGCCTCTGCCTGCCCAAAAGCTCTCCTTCTGAGGAAAACTTCCTTAATATGGAATTCTTACAGATCAAAAGTTTCAACCTGGTTGGATGCAACAGGAAGCAGGACATCATAACAAGTAGCAAGATCGTTCAGTTAGAGGGGCTACAAATATATTTTATGCTAAGTACAGCCAGAGCTGTACAGCAGGCTTTCTTTTTAGGTTTTACTCTAAGGAAGCAGGTGATAAAAGAGATCCCCCCACACGTGTAAGTGCTCAGTTTTAAACAAGGACCCTCCAACTTAGATCCAGCCACTCCATTGATATTTGATTACTCCAGCTGAGTTGTGCTTGGAGCACATTATGATACATTTTGCCTGGCAAAACCATCTCTTTCCCCTTGACAGGGTAGGTAATTTGGTAGCAGCCTGGAGCTGTGACCAGCCCCAACCCTAAATCAGAGCAGCACCACATCTACTTGGACTACAAGGCAATGACTCAGAAGGATTTCTGCTCAAGATAGATGTCACAGAGGGATCAGCTCTCATTTTGGTGATGCTGAAGCTCATCTCTGAGTTACAGAGGAAATGTTGACAAGCTGTAATAGAAAATGCAGTTGACAGTGACCACCAAAACTCATCTCAGTGCTAGAATCAGTGATATTCATGTTATTCCTTGCAGCCCCGGTGATGGTGGCATATGATCTGCTCAGCCTCTCCTGGGGTCCTTACCAGCCCTTACCATGAAGAAGGCTTTCCCAATATCTAATCTGAATCTTCCTTGCAGAATCTAAGCCTACTGCTTCTGGTTCTGTACAAGTGCATTAAAGAGGCTATTCCTTTCACTTTTCCTGCAGCCTTTCACGTATGTGAAGAATTATAGCCTAAAGAAGGAAAGTATGAGCAGTCCAGAAGAGAACAGCCTTAAATTCTTTCCCCAGATGATTTTGCTTCGACCCCTAATTTCTCATCATCAGCAAGAATGGATAATGTGGTCCAACAGGTTTCCTAAGAATCTATCTGAACTTGCTCATTTCTTCACACTATCTGCAATACAAAATGGATGAGACTGGGGAATGAGAACATTTCTTTGGGTACTTTCTATATTGGAACATAGCCATTAAAATGTCATAAGTTTTTTACTTGAAACTTAAAGGAAAACCTAAGTTTCATGACCATTTCATACTAGTTTCCATGTCCTGGTGTGAAGAATATTATTGTGAAAGACTAATGTTAGCTTTGTAGATAAAACCAGTAGCATTTTCTGACTAGCTGGTTGTAAACCATGTTTAACTCAAGCACAGGGAGTGGACCACCCACAAATGATTTGTATTTGTTTTCTTGCCTATTCCTCAGAAGCTGACTAGTTATGGCGTCCCTGGTTATTTTAATTTCCTATCCGATGCAATATTATTCCCTTGGGTAAATATCATGTTTTCCACAGCTGCATTTTTATTTCAAAAAGTCACATTTACCTTCAGTAAATAGCCGATTGCTCATCTAAAAATGATTGAACTTGGATATAACAGACATTCTAAAATTTCTAACACATCCTTTGTGGGACCCGCAGTCCCCTGCATCACCAGCGACCCCTCACAGCCTCTCCTCCCTGTACCAGAGCCCTCCCTAGGGCTAACGCAAGGTCAGAAGTTACCCAACCCACAGAGAAACCCTCAGCTAGCTCCAACATGCTCTCACTGAATCAGCACACTGCCGCGAGGATGGCAGTCACTCAGAAGAAGGCATATGAGTCACTGACATTAGCTCATTGACTTTGAGGTCCCCCCTGCTGCCTGGCTCAGCACAGCCTGCCTGGCCCTGCTTGCCTAGAGCACCCTGAACAAGCAGCCACGGTCACGGTCACAGCCATCCCTCTGTGCTCCAGCACTGCTCACCTTCTGTGAGGTGCCAGCTGGGCCCTCCTGCAGGCTAGCAGAGATTTCAGGATAGGCTGGAAAGAAAACAAAAAACGTATTAACGAAATGGCTACCAAAGGTCACAGTAACAGCTTCTAATGAGACTTAATGGCCTTGTTTTGTAAAGAGAGTTCAAATTAAATCCTACATCCACCCACATACCTGGCAAGATAAAAGCTTGCACTGCTCCAATTTGAGGTCAAGGAAGTGGTTTAGAAGCACACATCAGCAGCTACTACCACAAGATCTGCAGTGTATTTGTCTGCCTTTCAAAGACACTTCTGTGTGGCTTTGTTGAAGCTACCTAAAGCCACCCTGCAGCCACAGCTCTGATAGCAGGGCATCATTGTTCCAGCTGATGATTCCTCCAGGTGTTTGCCATCAAAGCTATCTGCAAAAGTTTTAGCCATCCCCTGCCGTACCCCAAACTGTCCATTGATCTTGGGTACCACCTTTCCCCACACTGTTGTTCTGGTAGATATGTGACAGTCTCATGCCACAGGCTCTTCCTGCCCTGGCCAGGAAACCCAGAGCTCTGTTTTACATCAAAGCAGTGGCTTTCTGATGACCACATCCACACGAAATGGAAAAACTTTTTTTTTCCTTTTTTTTTTTTTTCTTTTTTTCTTTCCCTTTGCACAGCATTTCAGTTCTGGGCACAGCTGACTATAGATGCAACTTTCCGGTACCATAAGTCTCTTTTAGCTGGCATCTCTGAATCAGCCATTAGATTCCAGTAATGCTGACAGTTAGGTAAAAACTGCTGAAACTGAGGTTAACAGCAAGTCTCAAAAGCCTTGAATAAATCATGCTTTGGCCCTTTCTGGGCCTTAAAACTGGACTGGAAACAAGCACAGAACCTGGATCCACATTCTTTCTCTTTCCAAGCTAAACATCAACTTTAACCCCACCATTAGTATCATTTTTTTTTTCTTCTTTGCCTAATTCTGTTAAACCAGTGTAGGTCACCTCAGCTCATTACTTTCCCTGCTGAGATGATGTGTTCAAGTTTTCCTGTCATTTTTGAATCTACCCAGGACTCTCTCTCTCTTTTTCTAATTTCCATTTTTCTGTCAATTGTTACAGACTGGTTATGCCTGAACTGACCTATATTTAGTGATTACAGCTTTGTGATTATCTAGCCTTTTGGACGGATTTTTTTTTTCCTTTTCTTCTTTCTTCCTTTTGTTTGGTTCATCTTTCCTATCAGAATACAAATATCTTAAGATTTCTGCCTCACCAAAACAGTACTGGTGGTAGTGGGGCTGGCAGATAGATAGAGAAACCTTTCAGGTGTAAGAAAATGTATGGTAAACTGGATCTTCTAATAGGAGCTAAAAGTTGGCTGATAGACTAAATAACTTTAAGCCTAATGCCTGTGTTTCCTTTAGGGTTTTGATGAGAATGGGAATGCATCTCCACTTCTGTATTGGATGTGGCCTCTGCTTTTTGAGAGGATGTGTTTGCTCGGTAACTATTCCGTAAAGCAACTCTCAAGCACAGCTCAGAATGACCTAATAGATCTTTTCCATTTAACATCTCAGCCCCTGTTAACACTTTGACATTCATTTGTCTTGCTAGGATATTTACCAACGGTTTGGGCCTAGCAGATATTCAATATTTAGTATAGTGGTTTCTGCTGCTGAGCTTTTACTCTTACAAAAAGGAGAAATCAATATTTGGCAAAGTTACATGTGAGAAGGCCATAAATTTTCTCAGAAACTTGTACCTAAAAGAACTCCATTCTGAAAAAGACATATTTTTAAGCATTGCAGTCTAAAAGTAACCCCTCAAAAAAAGCTCTTGATTGAACATATTTTATTCAACTTATCAAGACCCTCAGCTTCACTGAGAGACTCACTCTTGCACTTCCCATGCTTCTACCCAGCTCTCAGTCATACCCAGGCCACGTCAAGCATCTCTGGGGAAGCACCACTGCTGTCCCTCAGACGTGGGTTGTCTGTTGTGTTCACACCACCCAGCCCATGGGGTTGCACTTGTTCTCCCCCAATTCCTGATGGCGTGGCACTACTAGCAGTAAAGCAAGCCAGTAGTTTCTGGGAACATCATGAGATGTTCAGAAAAACCCACAAACAAAATCTGTGGTTTCTTTCTCTTGTTTGTATTTCTCCCCTCTTGTACCAGCTTATTAAGTTGGTGTGGGTTACATATGACACAAAAATTCAGAGAAAACAAGCAAACACACACACACAAAAAATAATAATAAAAAAGAATCAACCTCTTTCATTAACTGACACAAAACAAGGCAAGAGCATCAGTCTGGGCAAGAGGGAGTTCAAGTATCTTAATATCCTTGAATGATTACCCAAGTAACTCTGTAGCTGCTTGACAAATGTTGATTTTTTAAGAGTAAAACCCATGTCTGAATCATGCAAATGCAAGAGGAAATCTAAGATCATTAACTTCTATTTTCATTTCTCTTGCATCAGCGACTGACAGCCCTCCGACAGAAAGGTTTTTTTTTGTTTTTTTTTCCCCCCACCGTTCCCTGCTGAATCTTTCTTTGCATCCCAAGCATCAGCCTTGCATTACTGTGCCACCCGTGAGCTGTGGGCTTCCTCAGACAAGCAGCCACAGTCAAGGGACTGTTGATACACCCACTGGCTAAAAACCATTCATTTTAGGAGACTTGTAAATGTGTTTTTCAGACCCATGGCTCTACCAGAAGAAGATACAGCCTCATTTTCCCTGGGCAACATTGTTCTTACCCAGTTGTGGAGTGGTTCCTAAACCTCTGAAAAGGGAACAGAGCAAGAAACTGAAGATGGGGAAGGCTTTCAGCATGAAATACCAGCCCATGTTTGCAGTACATGGGCCCTGCCCCCTCCTGACCAATTTGAGACCCTCCTAGACAGGACCTCATTTTCAGAGCCAGAGCCTTTGGCAGTAGTTATAAATCACATCTCCAAAGGACGTGACTTTGCAGCAATGACAGCTCCAAATCACATTCATTTTGTAACTGGGGCACAGAGATCTTGATGACCAACACACCTAGCTGTAAGCTGAAATGTGCCAATGTAACCTTACACACATGGGTGAGATCATGGTAATTTGCATGCCAGTATTGTTATGTGCTCAGTGGAGTAGAGCAAATGTTTTTGATGCCAGACACATGAAGAATGGCCTCAAATTCTTTTTAAGAACTACAAGGTTATTTACAAATATTTTAACTTCCTACAGCAGAAAAAAAAAAAAAAAAAAAAAAACAACATAAATGTGTATGTATATACACACAGGTACATATGAATATATAAAAGTGTATTTCAAAAGCTACTGCCTTCAGAAGCAGGCAGAAGCTTTACTTTTAGAAAAGTAAGAGAACAGCTGAGGGAAGTTCCTTACCGAACACTCTCACGGTGGTGCTGCTCTTCCGGATCCTCTCTGGGTGGTAGACCACATGGCAAGAAAACACCTTGCCATCATCAGTAATTTTGGTGGGAAAAATCTTTAAAGCATTATTCAGACCCAGGTGGACTCTCCATTTGTACAGCATGCTGCCATACCCATACACCTCAGGATGGGAGGGCTCCTTGGTTATAAGTTCCTCTTTCTTTCCGTTTTCCTCCTGCAAATATATCATCCTGTATAACTTGAAAAGACTGGATATCCCCTGCTGTTTTTGTAGGCCAACACTATTCCCACTATGAAAATCTTCCCTCATACCCCTAGCACTTAGTAGGTGTAAGTGGACATTTCCAATACTTACTTTTCCCAAATACATTATCTTTTTATGAGGAGATCCCCCAGAACTTCAAAACTGATAGCAGTCATCATCTTACCAATAAACTACAGGGTAAATAGCTATCTTGTGAGTCCTGGCCCCTGCAGCCTGCACAGGGGGCAACAGAGCTGCTGGTCTGGAAGTTTTTAAATAGTGAAAACCTACTAATAATAGCTCAAAGTCATCTCCTCAGACTGCCTGTGTGCCAGTCACCTTGACATATGGATGCAACCAGCACATCCTGGACATCTGTGCCTTGGCATATATTTGCAAGATGTCCTCTAAATGATGCACGGTGACCCGTGTGTCATTGTGCTGACCTTTTGTGTTTTTTTTTGTTTTTTTTTTTTTTTTTTCCTTTCCTCTGCTGTTTCATTTTGTAGAGTGAGCTAGTTGCACTGAAAAATGTTAACGGTAAACATACTCCATACAAAAAAAAAAATCATGATTTTAAAATTAAGAGTTCACTGCAAAGAGATCTGAATAGGTAATGACATGAGACAGAATACTAAAAAGTTTAAATATTTGAAAGTCGCCTTTAAAATAATCCTCAACAATAACAACACAGTGACACCAGGTAGAAACTAACGGGCAAAGCTCAAGCACACTGCTTGCTGATATTTATATGAGTTAATGAAAAGGTTACTGTAAAACATGCATACAAATATTTATCCATAAAGTGAGATGCAGAACAAAAACATAACTAGCTTTAGATCTCGCAGCAAATTGCTGTTTTATATATGTGGTTAGCTAGATAAGTGGGTTTGCATGTCTTCAGTGTGCGTCTGTGACATGGAGGTCAACAGAGCAAAAAAACCATTACAGTCAACCTTTTTTTCCCATTTCAAAGCAGCCTGATATCTCACTAACCTACGCAGTAACTGTATTTTTCAGACATTAAAGCTTCACTACTGCAAAAATCCCTGAGAAATCTGATACAAAAAATATTTTAGTTGTTACATTTGCTAATTTTTTTTGGTAAGACTTCTCTACATGTCCTCATGACAAATTAAAAGCAAGTAAGGGGGGATTTTCCCTCTTTGTTTGTTTAACTGTGATTGTTTGTGGTGTCTATGTTGCAAATCCACAATTACACTTTTCCGTTTATTATTACTGTCCATCGCGGTGGATAGCTATTGTTTAACACATTCTGCAGGATGCAGTAAAATCCAACATTTCTCATTCTATCTGCAAAAATATCCTGTAGTTTCTTCCATAATTTGTACTTGAGCAGAAATAATATTTAGACTTACCACTACCCACTTCAGAGGGTAATTGGACAAGTTTGCTGAGGTCGCGTTCTCGAGGCATGGGATTTCTAAAGTCTGGCTTAACTGTGCTTCCTTCACGTAATGCTGCTCCTCTTTTAGCATCGCAAAAACCGCAACAGCGACAGCAACAACAGAAAACCCAAGGAGAAAAATCAGAAACATGGTGTTCATCATGCTTTAAGAACTGATGCTGACTGCTGTTCGAGGAACGGGCACTTTTTTGATTAGAAGGGAACTGTAATTTTCAACCATTACCCATAGACACATTTGTTAAGTGAAAGCCCTGCATCCAATTCCAGATGTAGTTTCAAGACTTTAATTCATGACTTTATCCAAATTTTTGTGCAATTCATAAAAACCTTTGCTTAACTGCTGGATTGAGACATTTCCTTTCGGAGCTGAGCTTCCATTTTTCTCTTACGATTTTTTCCACTGCAATAAACCTTCACACCAATTTTGTGCACCTGAATTTCCTTTTCTCTGCAGAATTTTGCACTAAGCAAGGTGTTCAGCTGTCAGGCAGGTTAAGATTAACCCTGCTTTTCAGTGTGAGTGGTCCTTTTTTTTAATCTCAAACCTGCCTTCTGCCTCTTACTCTTTCATTTGTCCTCCATTTAAAAACGTATCTCAGCAACTTCTACCCTATCCGTTCCTGATACAGGGCTCAATTTCACCTTGGGAAAGACAGAAGCGGTGCATCAAGCAGAGCACAGCTCTGGTCCAAATGTCAGATCTGCCTGCATCCCGATGTTTAAGCAGGAAGAGCAGTGGCATAGTTGGGTGATGCTGCCAATGCCTTGGCAAGTGCTGAGCTCTCCAGCTAGCCTCTCTGCCACAGCCTGCCTGGACACTCTTGAGCTTTCCTCCCCTGGTAGATTTGGCTTATGTGCTGAGACAAAACAGATAAAGTGCTGTGCAGAGTACAGCCCTCAGAAGTACCAAGATGAGCATTTGCCCCAGGAGCTCAGCCTGTGGACAGCCTCTGCCTGCTCTCACCATCACGTGTTGCAGCTGCCTAGTTTCCCTTCTCTCTTTGATTTTCGTTTCCATTAACAGCCTGGTGGTGATGGTACTTTGTGTTTGCAAATCCTACACGCGTCTGCTGCTCTGATTTTTTTTTTTTTAATTATTTTATTTTATTTTATTTTTTCTTCCTGTATCTGTATCTACTAGCTGAATCCATCTGGATTCACTTCACTTCAGTGCAACTGGGAGCTGTACTTCATTGATGACTGCTGCCCTTCTCCATCCCACTCACAGGCTGCATTGAAGTCTTCTCCCTTCTTTTGAATGGACGAGGATCATTGCAAAAGATCTAATTACTGTAAAATGCAAATTGGCAAGAGGTATGTTGCAAACTGAACTTTTGAGTTCTCTCTAGGAAGTGGTATCAGTAGCACCAATTTCTACATCATGTGGTGGCTGAAAAATCTACAACAGTGCTGATATGAATGGCAGCTGCCCACATTTAACATTATAATGCATGTAGATAGCAGCTAGAGCTTTGAACATGCCAGTATCAGCCAAGGGCACTAGCACAGGAAGAGGAGCAATGCCTGATTGTAACTATTACTATACTAGGGAAAAGAAAGAAAAACTGTACAAAGAACAGAACTGTACCCATGGACACTGCTGCTCTCTGCTAACCCTAACATCCCCTGTACCTACCCTGCTCTCAGCCCTTGAAAATGTGCTGCAGATACAGCCCCGGACACCACCAGGCTGAGCATGCTGGCCTTGAAGCTCTGAAATGAAACTTGGCTGTGTTTGTTGCATTTACTTTAATCCTCCTCAGCTCGCTAGCAAAAAACGAATAGGCCCAAAAGAGGTTTCTGAGGTCATCAAATCCAATCCTTCTCCAGCACAACTACAAACTTGCCCAGCTCACCCAACATCCCTGCCCAGCTCCATCTTCATGGCAATTTGGACTCTTTGGGCTCACTGCTGGCATTAAGCAGCTGTTCCCAAAGTTGCTGCACCAGTGGTCAGCACTGTTGTTTAATTTGTAGCCAAATCCATTCACATCCTATTGAAAACCATTTATTCCTTTGCCTAGATACTTAAATATCCTCCCAGGAGTTCACGTTCTCCCCCAAGGCTTACTTACCAAAAGCAGTCATGCTGCTTCTCAGCTTCCTTTTGGCTGACAAAACAAGCCAAGTGTCCAGTCCCATGATCATCCTAAACAACCCTCTCTTTTGCTCCACTTTGGTTTAAAGGTGGGGACACACATCCATTTGCTGTGCTAACACCCATCCCTGCAAATCCCAGCCCTCCTTTCATTTTCCAAAATGAAAGCATGGACACTGTCCATCTGATCATCTTTTGTGCATTCCCCTCTAACTTCATGTTCCTCCAAACAATGAAGGTTTCCTAATCATGAGCTGGATAATGACTGAAAAGTTCCTGGGACATAACTGCAAGCAGCAGCATTTAGTGACACCATTGCAAACATCAAACAAGCCACTCACATTGACCAAGGAATGATTGTCTAACCTGATATCCTCTCCCCTTTTCCCTGCTATGAAAAAAAAAAACCATCATTTGTAGTTACTTACCTTCTGCCTTGATGATAAGTTGTATTTTTGCAGCCTTTGTCCCATATGGGTAAGTAGCAAAACTGCACTCATACTGCCCGCTGAGGGAGATGGTAACATTTCTCAAGTGCAGAGCCCACTGCTGGCATTCAGACCAGGAGTTTGAGTCAGGAGAACATGAGGTCTCGTTAACGTCCCAATTGCAGCACTTCCTCATGCTGAACGACACGGAAAAGTTGGAACAGGCCTCAAGAAATTCGAAGTAATGGGTGCCCAAAATGGGGTGATGAACAGCTATTCTGGACAGATGGTTGGCATCGGTCTTAGACCACTGTGCCTGTACTATGTAGGTGGACTGTGGTTTGGGGAAGGTGCACAGCAGGGTCACATCGGTACCTGGCAAAGCGTGGACCACCTCTGTGTGTGCAATGACATCTCCAGTTTGGCCTTAAAAGCAAATGGGACAGTTGTCAGCACAAGAAATATTTAACCAAAGCTTTCTTCTAAGCTGCCTTATAAATGATTTGGTGCCTTAGCTCCAGATAACTCTGAAGGCTCATGCCTACAGCTGCAACAACCCTCTTTCAAGTAAATCTCCTGATTTACAGCTGAGAGATACTGCAGAGCTCTGCTGCTTGCAGAGGGGAACCTAGAGGGCAAAGCAGCGCTTGCCCGAAGGAGGGTGGGGAGCTCCCATTGCTCTCACTGTGAAGTGCAACAGAGCTCTGAGAGGCCCCATGAAAATGGAAACCTTTCAAGTGACATAAATGAAGCAGAAGCTGGGACCATTCATTCCCCAGCTCTGTTTTGCAAGAACAAATGAGAGATCCCTGCTGGCTGGTCCTGCCTTGTGCAACTGCCCCTGCCCGTTCCCACTCCTGTGGCACTTCAGCAGGAAGCCATTCTTTCACCTCTGTGCTGCTAAATGGCTCCTGCATGGCCTGAACCGCTGACCACTCCAGTGTCAGAGGGAGCAGCCCTGCTATGAATGGCTTCTTCCTGAACTAATTTCATAAAGCACATTGGCAGTCCTCAGTGTGCCATAGAAAGGAGTAATGGATCGGTGAAATGAAGGGGCTTTCAACACGAGCCTCAGCTGCTTGTTTGCTGCTGTGCTGTTGTAAGATTGATTTCTCTCCCTTCCTCCCTCATGCACACAAGAGGTTTGCCGTTCCCAAACCCTGTGTGCAGGGCACTGACAAGCTTGAGGAGATCAGGAATTGAGGTATGGGGGCAGTTGTGGTGAGCCAGGTGCTGTCTCACCCACAAAGCCAGACACAACAGGCCCTTTCTCCAAGAAAAAAAAAGTGCAAAAATAAATTTGCACAGATGTCCTCAACTACAGACTTGTCACTGAATTTTACCCTTCCTGTGTTTCAAAACATCACTGTACATTTGCTCTGAGGACTTGTCCCGCATCCCACCATGCGTCCCCAGAACTGCCAGCACTTGCTGCTCCCTCTGTGTGCCTATGGAAAGCAGGTGCCTACTTGTCACCTTTGCCACCAGCTTGGTCTTTGGCAGGGAAAAAAAAAGGAACAGGTTCTCACATCCCTGCAGAGGCAGCTGAGGTTTGGGACACAACTGCTGAAGAGTGACATGAGCATGCAGGGAATATGTGCATGGAAAGCTTTGCTTTCCATGCAAAGCTTTCCAGGGCAAATTTTCCATTCCTTTTTTGTCCCTGTGCATGCGCCATTCAACTTTTAATTCAATTCCACGAGATCGGAACAGATAGGAAGGTAGAAAAGAATAAGCCTGATATGGGTATGTGCTGTGAGAACAATTACAGAAAACTGTCTTCATAGGAGTGAGGAGCTAATTATAGCAAATACTCATTGATTACACTGAAAGTTTTGCATCTGTAAGGTAACTAAAATGCAATCAGACTAGCAGGCAAGAGTGACCCAGCAAGTTATCTGTTGTAGACTGATGCTGTATTGGGTCAAAGGACCATGTAAAGAAGGCCCACCAAGAATTATAAGGAATCTGTTATTATTATTATTGTTTATTAATAGTCTATCACATTAGGTTATTTTAAGTAAAACCAATACACACAAAAGTTCCTAACTTGATGTTGCCATCTCAATATAATTAATCTAGTCTTATTCTAACTTCATGTTGTAAACTCAAATGCTATTTCAATCATGGGAGAACAAAGCAGCAGTCCTACTTTTCTCTAAATAGTTTTGCACTGAACTTTCTTGCATGTCTTGAGGCTTCTATTTTGTTGTTTGCATTTGGGGGCTTTTGTTTTCTATGAAAACTCCTATGAACTATTTTCCTGCCTTTTAAAACCAATCTGTCTCACTGACATGGAAAATATGAACAGCCTATGCTAGATATTGAGATGCATATTTTCATGCCAGCCAAATGCATGAACCATCATTTTTCTGTTCTTAATCAGAAGAAAGGCTCAACACATGAAATTCTGCTTCCTAGCTGGCAAAAAGTGCTCCTGCGTTCAGATTCATCAGCCTGTTGGGGGCAGAGGGGCTTGTGAGCATCATCAGGCTTTTCAAGCCTTTTAAGTGGCACAGAGGGCTGGATGGGGAAAAGAAAGCCTGCTTAAGGGTTGCAGCCATACAACTTATCCTTGCCTTTAAAAGTGTTTCAGTCCTTTCTCTCTCCCTGCACACACAGGTATGTGTGTGAGAGGGAGATTTTTATTTGCTCTTTGAAAGCACAGTTTGACTTTTTGCCAACTGGGGATGAGCACACGTTGTGCTAAACACAAGTGAGATGGTCTCAGTGATTATTTTGGTGAAAACAGGTTAAACGTTTGAATAAATGGCTCTGCTCATCAGCACAAACCACTTGCTCCTCATTAGCTGCACGATATTACCAAGGTTATTAGAAAGTTGTCACAAAACAGAACATAATTGTCGGTAGTTACAGCTTGCTCTAGAGAGACCTAATAACAAGGTTTTTCACCCTCGGTCTGAAAATGTCACCCTCCCCAGCACCCTGCTCTGCAAGCCAAGCACAGGCATCCTGCTGCCACGCTTACCTGCAGCGCTGTGTGCAGACAGTAAGCCAAGGACGAGGAAGAACCATCTTCCCATCTTGTCTTGACGAAGCTTGGTTAAATACTTCAGAGCTCTCTTGGCCTGTTCCTGGCACTTTCTCAGAAAAGGAAGTCAAAATGGCCTGCCCTGCGCAGACAGGCAGATGTGCAGCACGGTCACGCTCATCGTGCTAGCACGACTTCAAAGAAATGCTTCATTAAACGTGAAAGCCTCAGTTTCCTGTCTGAGCAATAAAATTAGTACACGTTATGAAACCTTTATGCTGAAAACACTGCTTACGCCATAAGCCCCTGGTGAAGACTATTTTTTCCCCCTCTGTTTTTTCAGATGAAGTCAGAGTAAACATTTTACAGGTTTAAGCTCTCCCTTGAAAACCTGGCAGGTGTCTAAGACTGAATATATGGTTCATAACATATGAAAATGTTGCTTTTTCTTTCCCTCACTTCATTTCCTTCATGTTCTTCCCAAACAGCTCAAATATGCAATTTTCATAGTCTCTATTCTCACTGCCTTAAAAACATACACACAAAACCCCAAACAAAACAAAAAACACCACCAACCCCAGCAAAATAACAAAACCAGTCCCCCTAAAATAAATCAGAACAAGCCAAGAATTTTATGGGTTCACTTTTTTGGGCAGAGGAGAGTGCTGATGGGTTTCCGTGGGACAGATGATCCCAGCCCTGCAGGTGACAGCATCACCTGCTGTGGTTGATCCTTCCTCCGCCCCTCATCCAGTTCAGCTGGTAGCTTTTCAGGAAGAAAACAGATTGAAGTGCAATCACACTTTTTCTACCACCCTGGCAGCCCTCCTACCAGGGCAGGGGCTGTTCAGCAGAGAAGGAGACAGGCCAGGATGGCACTACCCTGTAGACGGGTGCCTCTGCCCACCCCAGGAGGCTGCTTCATCCTTGTGTGGTACAGTTCCTGATGTTTCTTTCCTGACAGCGTTTCTGTGGGTGTTGGGGCATTTGTCAGTCCCTTGTTTTATGGCAGCTCTCCCTGGTGCTCGGGCAATGCCTCCAAAACTGCCAGCCACCACCTCCAATTTTATTCCAAATACTTTTCTGTTTCCTTCCCAACTATCAACTTTTGCCGGCCATGGATTTGTCTGTGTTTCCAGCATTCAGGGCAAAAAGCTCAGGGAAAAAAAAAAGACAGAGAGCTCACTGATCATTTCCTCATTTCACACACTACCGGATGCTAACAACATTTATACCACTTCCCTAATTTTTGCACATGCGATCCTTTGGTAGCACATTTAAGCAAGCTGAGGTCCTCCAACTGGAAGAGCTGCTAGAGCTGGCCAGGACACGGAGAGGCTTCCAGGCACATGTTTTGGGGGACAGATGCTGCTGCACTCTTCTGTTTACATTCGTGTTATTCCTCTACCTGAGAACATGCTTTAGAAGCAGTTGTGGAAAACGTGCTGGATGCCTGGGTTACTGCTAAGGGAATACTATCTGGGGATGAAATCTCAGCTTGTTATGCAGAAGCATGACAGAGAAATGCATGCCCGTGAAGTCCCAAAGTTGAGGATGAGCAGAATATTCAAAGCCATTGTATTTGCAGCCACAAAAAGGAATAAAAATGTTAAAGGTATATGTTCTGGTTTCCAGTTCAGATAAGAGACCACAAAGAACCCACATATTATTTTCAGAGGCTCAACTCCAAGCAAATTGGACTTGAATCTAGAATTTGGACTTGCAGCCACAAGTGGAGTTACCTTACCTTCTCCTGCTCATCAGTTCATGCAAGATTTGTGCCATTTTGCATAACATTCGGGAAAAACAAATTTCAGATGAGCCCCTTTATTGATCTGAAACATGCATCACAGTTCTACAAGGCAGCTCAAGTGCCACGTGGTATATTCAATAGCCCCAGAAATCCTTGAGCAGCTTCTTCGTGTTACTAGCTCACTAGGTCTTGCCCTTCAAATTTGCCCCCTCTTCCCTTAAATTATATCCTAAAAATACACTGCTGCCATGTCACACTGTGCTGGCTGAATGCAGCCACCCAGCACTGTTTCTGAGCTTAGTAAGGAAAGAGAAACGAAGGAAACCTCACAGCCCCATGGATTTTATTTTTTTTTTTTCAGCAAACCACGAGGTCCCACTCACAGCAAAGCAAATTATTGTGAGCGAAGCTCTGCCTGGGTAGGAGGCACACGTTTGTAGGGGATCTGTGATCCACAGCATTTTCTGTTGGGCTGGATCTGGCTGACCCACATGGGTGCCAGCTCCCCAGGGTAAGGCAGCAGTGAGGGGACCCCTGGATGCAGTGCCTGGCAGATCTGCCCGCTGCTCAAGGATGCCTCTGCTGCCTCATACAGCATCCAGTTTTTTTCTTTGGGTGGTGGGGGGTGGCAGTGGGGGGGTCCTCTAATTATTTTCTGCAGATCTGTTCACTGCTGGCAGAGGCATTTAAATGCTACAAATGTCTCTTTCCACGGCAATCACCTCTATTACGCATCAAGTTCACAAAAACCTCAACTGCAATACCTTTCTTCTGCCTCAATTACGGTAAGCTGCACCTAAGGAAGAAGCAGAGCTGCAGTTAGTCCCATGGAAAGAGAAATCTTGAACTCCAGAGACAAATTCAATTATTCACAAAGAGAGCCTTCTCAGAAATGCTAGTGCGCGAGCTATTCCTGCCAGAGGCGAGGATGATTACCCTTGCAGACTAGTGTCCTCTAAACATTGCTTAAAGAAAGTGCTGCTCCCCAGTGAAAAAGAAGCAGAGGCTTTGAAGCTGGAATTTCATTAAAGAGCCAGCTAACCTCCCAGCTTCACCTGACGCTTCGCACAAAAGCTCCCTCTTTGTCATTGCGTTTTGGTTTGGGGCCTCTTCGAACACTGTGCCAGTGACTGCGGATGGCAGGCAGTTTCCATATGGCACTGAGGGCTTCCTCGGTGCCCCCTTCCCATCCCAGACCTTTGTGCCTCTTGCCTGTATGCAGCGCTGTCCCCTCTATATGGAGGGGAGAAGAGGAGAAGGGGTTTCTTGCTACTTCCTTCTTCCTCTCCTCCTCCTCCACACTGTCTGCATGCTGCGTCTGACATAACGCAGCCCTAGTTCCAGCCGGGGTGTTTAAGCAGCATGGCAAACACAAACACACCTCCTCAACAGGGATTTTTCCAGCTGAAAGTTTGAAGTCTTGGTGAGGCTGTTCATCCCTTCTGCCTGACAGCTCAGGGAGGGGAAAGCAAACAACCACAGCCCTGGCTTCATGCCTGCTCCACCGTGGTCCATGCTGGCTCTAGGGGTGCTCCCTCTGCCTCTCCCAGTGCTGGCTCCACCAGGATTGCAGGCACGTCTCTCTATGAACATGTCATTTGCCACGGCGTCCTGTAGACATTTCAGGGCCAGACCCAACCAGGCAACGACTCTTTAATTATGCCTTTTGCTCATCCTGCTGGTAACTGTTGCTTTCTTCTCTGCATCAGCTGGGAACTTGCTTTTGAATGGCCTCACTCAGGGCTGTGAGTCAAAATAAATGGATAGGCAAAGAATACAGCCCTTAAATCCTTACTGCTTATTATCCACGGGAAAAAATCTCCTTGTGACCGGTGTTTACAGAGCTTTTCAGATAAGGCAATAAGGTGTCTTTTGGGGGAAATCACAGGGAATTCTTTTCTTGGGCTGAACTCCTCCGGTTGTGCTCCTCTGGCTCTCCATTTCTGTGACCAATATCTGGATATAAGAACGGGACTGCAAAAATGGGTGCTAACGTTTCTAACTAGTAGGCCTAGTTCATATTTTGGAGAAAAAAGAGGGTAAAGTTTGGGAATAAACTGAAGACAACAGGCTCCCTCACCTTCTCTGTCATTCCAGCCACAGATCCCTGTGGTCCTCTACCATTTAATGCCCTTTTACTGATCAGTGACGGTCAACCACTCTAAACTGCCGAAAATTGCATTGTGCAAAGCACAACTTACTGGAAAAAGAGTATATAAAAAAATAACAACAGAGCCAACCAACCAAAACAAAACAAAGCACATTGACTCAACAGCTATACACCAATGAAAAACCACTGCGTGGTAGCCAGCCAGACATGTCCAAAAAATTAAAGACTGTATGGAGTCTTTATTTCCAAAATGACATGCAAGGCATATTTGAGACCAGCCCTGCTTTCTTCAGCTGCTTTCTCTTCCAGCTACAGGACAAAACATATTTTCCCCCCATTTTGCACAGCATCTGCTAAGGCTTTTCACTTGTATATCTCATTCTCACAGTTCTGTAGGAAAATGAATCTAATCAGGTGAATGGCTGTGTAACAAAATGTAACAGCACCCATAGCTTTAGAAAGGCATTTGTTAGGCAAGGGTAACCTACTACCAGTGCTGGAAAATATCTGCTCATGTCAGAACACAAGACTGAGCTTTCCGTGATGCCTCCCAGAAGGGCTGTCATCTCCTGGTCACTCTGGCAGGACCTTCAGAGATGGTGTATGGAGCAGCAGTATGTCTCTTGCCAGCAAGAGACAATATGACCCTGCTTGAGGAGGGACTTCTGTAAACTTTACCTTTGGGTCTGCATGAAGGAGGGAGTTATTTAGACAAGGCACAGACCCACTCACACAGAAACAAGAGCTGTGAACCTGGAGGGGTTATGTACCTCATTATACTGTGCAGACTGCTTCTGCTGGATTTTGTTCCCAGATTAATTTAAATTCCTCCATGCTATTGTATGCAAATACCATCTCGCAGACACACAGCCGCCTCACCAGAGCTAAACACAGCCTGGTTAGAATTCACCACTGAAGAAATACATCAAACAGAAAAGATTAAAGGTGCGAAAGTTAAGTTCAGATGCAGTAGAGGTGACAATCTGAGGGAAGGAGCTGCCTTTCCACTACACACAAAAAAATAAATAAAAATACTAATTTACAGCAATAAAAGTCCAGATTACAGTGACATTGAGAACCATAACCTGGATTTTTTGATAGAATACTATGAAAGCCTGAGACATTAATGCGTTTGTTTGCACACAAGTATCTTTGTAGCCCTGTAAATACCTCTCAGGCTATCATGTTGTCAGAAGCAAACACAGAGAAGTGACATCTCTCCTGTCACATCCGTCATCAATTAAATTGTCCACCAGAGCCCAACTCTATATCTCTTTAGAAATGGCAAAGTGAAAGAAGCAGAGACTGTTTTTCATGTCGGGGCTGCAGAGAAGGGGCTGCACTGCTGTGGAGCCAGAGCTTGGACCCCTGGGGTGCTTTAGCTTGGAGCGCCGTGGGGCAGGAGGCCTCACCTTGGCCCTGGAAAGAGGGAAAGAAGGCAATGTGAAGGTGAGTGCACCTTATACAAGGGCAGTATGGGGCAGGTGTATTCCTCAATTTAAGCATCTCAATGGGGTTAGCAGCCTTCAGGTAAATGGGATGAATCCAGCACAGGAATAGCTAGAAGCTGAAAAGGAGAATGGGAAACTTCTGGGGTATTTTTGCATAATGATATTTTCCAGGCCATCATCAGAGCAACATTTAGCTACTTCAGATGTGGAGCCTCTTGGTTCGCTCTGTGCTCAGAGGCATAATGTGAGCCTGCCCTAAGGAGCCCGCAA